ATCAACACCTCTATGGATTACTTATACCAAAATCTAATTATTTTGAACACAATTTTATGGCTTCAACTAAATATATTTTGAAATGCAGCTACTGTATGTCTTCAAATACAGATAAATGTATTGATGGTTTTGTCTGCTTTGTTTTACTTCATATCAACCTCAATGGGTTATTTAATGCTGACAAGATTTTTATTGTTCTTAATATTTTTTTTCAAACATATATTGCTAGTAATATTTTTCCTTCAAAAAATCTATTTCTGGTAAGTTTGTTTTTCAAAAATGTATATTTGTTAATAAGTTTTTTCAAAAAAGTTTTGCTGTAAATATTTTTTGTTGCCTAAAATGTATTGCTGGCAATAATTTTTCCTTCAAATAATTTATTGCTGGTAATGATTTTTTTACAAAGTATTTCTGGTATTAAGACCTATTTTTACACTTTCATAGTGTTTTTACCCCAGTTTCGGGGTTAACTATTTACCCATAGCTGGGATCTTAACAGGTGCTATCATCCCGGGTCAGGATGGACCTGGGAACACCAGCAATTAAGAGGTGGTTCCACGCTCCTCAAACCTCCTGATCAGAGGCTTTGCTGTTGGACGTTACCCAGGACGCGGATGTAGTTTATCGTCTTACCCAGGACGCGGATGAAGTTTATCGCCTTACCCAGGACGCGGATGTAGTTTATCGCCTTACCCAGGACGCGGATGAAGTTTATCGCCTTACCCAGGACGCGGATGTAGTTTATCGTCTTACCCAGGACGCGGATGAAGTTTATCGCCTTACCCAGGACGCGGATGAAGTTTATCGCCTTACCCAGGACGCGGATGTAGTTTATCGTCTTACCCAGGACGCGGATGAAGTTTATCGCCTTACCCAGGACGCGGATGAAGTTTATCGTCTTACCCAGGACGCGGATGTAGTTTATCGCCTTACCAAGGACGCGGATGTAGTTTATCGTTTTACCCAGGACGCGGATGTAGTTTATCGTCATACCCAGGACGGGTATTGATGGTCGTTTTACTATAAATATGTATTTTTATACTATAATAGTGCTTTGTTTTTTGTCTGGGTGGGGTGACAACTGCCCCATACCTGGTACCCTAACATGGGAATAACAGCAATTAAAAGGTGGTTCCACGCTCTTCAAAACCTGCAATATCCCGATCAGAGGGCTTAATGCCAGATGTACAGGGTGCAATGGGTAAACTGTCGTCATTTTATATTTTTCATTTCGCGCATGCGCGCTTTTTTATTTTGTTGTCTGTACAGTATAGGAGGATCAGTTGGGCACCGTCTTTGAGAAAAAGAGCACCATGACGCAATTCACTGCCAGAAATTTGGAAGCGGCATGCTGTACTGCTTGGCATTCGCTCCGGAAGCTCTAATATGAACATTTCAGAGTGCTGAAGACTCGGAAAGAGTTTGATAAGTCTAATAGCGTGATCACTAATGATGGCGACGTTATGTCTCTATTCATCTTCCCACAGGGGCTCAGACTTGGGAAGGTTGTGTTGCCTTGTGTCAAGAGGGTGGCTGCTGGAAGATCTTATGTCTGTCAACAAGACTACCATGCCACACAAACAGGAGAACCCAGTTATAGCAGTCAGACAATTTCTGCGGCCACATCATCCCTTACATCGGGCCACCTAGCTCCCCAGACTGCAACACCCTTGATTATTATGTGTGGGGCGCAGTTGAGCAAGAGACCAACAAAACTCATTGTAACATCAAAAATGAACTGAGGGCAAAGATTATGGCAGCATTCACAAACTTAAACAAGGAGACCGTCCAAATGAGTTGCAGGAGATTTCGAAGTCGTCTGAAGGCCGTGGTTGAAGCCGATGGCGATTTTATTGAATAAATTTACTCTTTTGTATTTCAAGTTATTTTTGTGTAATTTTGGCAAATATATGTGTTAAAATGAGATGTTAGTGTTATTTTCATTTTTGCGTAATTTAGATGACAATTTATCCATTGCACCCTGCAGTTCAGTGTTATAGAGAGGTACCCCAAATGGATTAGGAAAGAAAGAGAGGGAAGAGAAATATGTAGGAGAGGTACAATTCAAAGGGCATGTGAACGGGGACAGAAAAGGGGAACATTTTTTAGGGGGAGTAAAGAGAGGAAAAAGTGGAAAGAATTGTTCAGATTTTAATGATTATTTCATACACACCGCTGAAGACTATGCTTTCAGGATGTTATTATTGTATGTGGTATCATCTTGCCTGGGGGTTATTTTAAATGCTTAATTACTAAGTCCCCATCGGATTTTGTGAGTAAAAAAAGCACTGTAGAATAATTATCTATGCATATTTGGGACGTTCCGTTTAGATGGAGAGGGGTTTGCGTGTGATATGTGCAGTCCCACACTAAGGAATCTTTTGTAGCTCTGAGATGCTGATGTGTCCAGAAATATTAATCACATGATTTTCGGTACCTTTCTTTATCATACATTGTGTTTGATAAAGAAAGGTACTGAACATCAAAACAAAGATAATAATAGTTTTATGCTTCCACATTTTTGTTACTTTGGTTTTGCCTATCATCGAGATATGCTATAAATATGGCGTTACAAGTTCCTTTCAATCGTTATCTGTCCTCCTTATCCTCATCATCTTCACCTCCTACAAACTCCCCTTTCATTCATATCACACACATTCATCATAGCCATTTTAACAGTAGATCTCAACCTTGAGTAGCTATCAAGGCTTGTTTTGGGAGATCTTTACTATGGAAACTGTTATAGGGATTTTCCAAGCACAGCTTTGATGTGGCACAAAGCCGAATTTAGGGAAGCACTCAGTGAGAATCAAACTCACCTACGATATTCCAAGCGTAGCTTAGATGTGGCACAAGGCCGTAAGTATTGGGCACCCAGTGAGGATCGAACTCACTACTCAGTGGAAATTTGTTCTAGTGAGACAAGCTTGCTAATCATTACACCACCTCGAGGTGCCCCTATGGAAACTGTTACATGGGAATAAAGTGTCGCTGCCGACACTTGAGTTTGAACATAGATCGTCAGTGAGTAAACACAGGCGATCCCATTATTGAAGTAAGTAGACCACGTGACCATAGAGGAAACGCATATATAGGAAGTCGTATGATGTCTAGATTGATCGCCATTTCTACTCTATCCTCTATGACTATACGGACCGCTATTCTCTATATTATTTCTCTATTCGGATCACTATACGGATTACTATTCGAGCGAATATTATCAAGCAAGTACTATTAGTGCGAGCGATATTCGAAGGTGTTTGATACTAGTATTGTTCAATGGCGTTACTATAGTTGTATCGGCGATTACAAAGTCTCTACTACAACGAGCATTACAAAAGTGACAACGAGTATTCGTTGGCATCAAAAAAATGGCAACGAGTGTTCGTTAACATCACAGAAGAAACAATAAATTTATAAAATTCATACAAGAAATCAACAAGGAAAATCATTTTATACACCTGAATGCGTGATCAACGCATTATGTAGTGCAAAATTCGGTAGAAACTCTAAGTTTATAAAAACTCATGATTATTTAGAGGTTTCTCTCTATCACCCATTGATGCCTAATAAGGGCGGTGCGCATTAATTGGATAAAGTAGCAAATCGCTTCGATGTAACGAAACTCCAAAAGGAGATGAACATTTAATTGTGCACCTAAAATGATCTGATATCAAACTCGTGAATCAACATCCGTTCAAATCGAGCACAAAATCCGATTAGTTTTTTTTTTTTATTGTTTGGATGTGTAAAAAGAAACATTCAAAGAACTCGATCGTAAAGCCCCCAAAATGAACAGAAAATAAAAACGAAAAACTGAAAGACTTAAAAGCTTTACACGCTTCGGTAACGAAGAATATTGAACTGTAAAGTTGTTTTCCTGTTTGCTATTCAGTGCAGCTTTTAACAGGTAATGCAGTCGACCTTGCCGGTGTCTTTTACCCACCAAGCCTTTGTTCCACCTGAGCAGAATTCGGGGAGGGATCGTGTAGCCCGATACGAAATCGTTGCGCAAAGTTTGTGCAGATGTATGACAATATTTCCGGTTTTGCTAGTAAAGCGGATGATGTATAGTGTCGATTGCAGTGAGATACAAAGAAGCAGTTTGATGGTAAAGTGTGTGAAAGCCTGTTCGTTTAAAGGAAGCAACCAAAGAAATAATACCTGTCGATTATTGTGTGATGCCTGACTATCTTGGCTCCGAGCTCAGTTTGGGAGCTTGTGGCATACATAACTGAAACTTTTAAATAGATTGTGGTTTTTATAATGGCTAAAGAAGTTGCAATAGAGAAATTAAAAGAGAAATCAGTATAAAAACATTTTACGATGATGTGCTGTTACACTTACTCTTCCAGAGAACATGATACCGCTCAATTTCATTGTAAAGCTGTAAAATTTGTAGGACAGAGAAGGGAGGCTTGGGAGAAACCTACTTTATTTTTTACTAGTTTAAAAGCCGTGCTCAGCGTTAATTGAACCTCTGACACAAAACTAAATGGACCTCTGGTCTAGCTTAGAAAACAGCAATGATAATTTTAAAATCATAACTTTGAATTCTCCAATTCACTCCATGGAACGTGAAGACCTTACTTTAACTTTGATTCGGACTATAAGTCCAATTCCGGCTAAATGGCCCGAAATTCTGATTTGAACCAAAATTCCAATTCAAGCTGAAAATTGAGTTCTTCAAATCACAGACTCTGCGGAATTTCAAAACTTCACATCATGAGCACTCTTAATTTAACTCTGATCCCTTGGCATTTTAAAGAAATAAAATCGATTTCTTCAATTCACAAAATCTTGGAGATATTAGATGTTGAATTTAAAACAAATTTTGTGTTACTTTAAACTCAATATAAATTGAAAACTTTTAAAATCACTAATTGTTTTGAGTTATCTTAAAATTTGAATTTTTGCCTGTTCTCTACTCATCTGGACACAAATCTCAATGCTGGAGGTTCAAGCAACAGATGAAGCGTAGATTTTCAATCCCAAGATTA